ATTCTTCTTATATATTAATTTGATTAAATATAAAGATATTTACTAATTAAACTATTCTTTATCTCAATTGACTAATATGAATTTTAGTGAGATCAAGTTGAATTAATTTTTGAAATAACAGATATATGATTTGATTAATTAATATTGCTCTAATATTTTCTGTGAACAATCAAAAGATATAAAATTATTTATAATTTGGAATTGAAGAGGATGATAATAATGATAAAAGTCTTGAAAAAATATTTTAATAGGATTATTAGGAATTTGATATCTCAAGATAATAATTAATGGATAATCCAATAAAAAAATAACAATTAGTTATGAAAACTCAAGATACAAATATTTATCAATTATAAATAACAAAAGAAAAAGATATAAAAAGAAATATAAAAAGAAATATAAAAAGATTATAAATAAATAAAATATATAAAAAGAATCTTTTTCTATAGAAAGAGTACCAGAAATATGTTACAGCAAATTGATAAGTGAATTTTTGCTTGAATTTATCTTAATGATAAGAATTGAAAGAGACTGAAATAATTAAAGAATGAAGAGAAGGGAATTAGACTATACTTTTAATAATGACAAAGATTTTTAAGATTTGTATTAATATTTACAGATATTATCTTAAAAAGAGTAAAATAAATAATAAAAGAAAGAAGTAAATCAAAAAAATTATAAAGATAAGTTAGTGAAGCTACTAGTAATCAATATAATTCAAGATTTAAAGTAATTAAATAGTAGAATTATTAATTAAAGAAGACTATAACTAAAGAAAAGATAAAAATTAAAGTACAAAAACTAAATAATTAAACAATAAAGAATATAACTTATTTATAGTAGAAATTTTCTATTCTCAAAAATAAAACAAATAAAAGTATAACTTATTTATAGTAGAGATCTTTTACTCTTAAAATAATATCAAAAATTAAAAATTAATATAATATTATAATTTAAAAATCCAAATCAACTTTATATGATTAAAAGAATAAAATCAAGTGAAAGAAAGAATACTAGTATAATTAAAAAAGAAATCTTGTAAAAAGATTATTATTATTATGATAATAAACTTTTAATTATATTTTTCAAATAATTTAAAGTACTATAATATAAATAATTAGAAATATATATATTAAAGTATATTGAATAATATCAAAGAATATTGAAGAATATTGAAGGATGTGAAAGAATGTTAAAAGATATGAAAAGATATTAAAAGATATAAAAAGATATTAAAAGATATTGAAAGATATTGAAAGATATAAAAAGATATAAACAGATATTTATGATTAATATTTCAAATATAATTGTTCTACCAAAATTAAAAATGATCTTTTACTATACTATCTTACTATATATATGAATATTGTATTATAAAAATATAAATCTTGAATAAAAATAAAATATAATATCTAAAAATAGTAATCATGATAATAAATATAGTAATATAAGATATGAAAATAGGAATATTTATAAAATAAATAAAAATTATAAGAATATGTAATTTCATATAACTAAAAAAAGATTAAGAAATTAAGAAATTTTATATTACTATGATAATAATAGTCTAATTCTCTTCTCTTCATCTTTAATTATTTCAGTCTCTTCTAATCTTATATTATTAAGATAAATTCAAGTGAAAATCCACTTACCAATTCATTGTAATAATATCACAAGATAGTAATATCTTTTAGATATTCTTTAACTAGTTATACTTTTCTTGTATTTGTAATTTCATTAGCTTATATAATAATATTAAAGTCTTTGAATTACTTAGTTAAATCTTGCTTATTTTCTCAGTATTTTCTGATTAGAATAATAATTTTTTCTATAGATCAATTATTTTAATTAGCTATTTAATTAGCAAGTATTTCAAGAACTTGGATTAGATTATCTAAATTATTATTATTATTATTATTATTTAATATTATTTAATTATCTTCTTCTTCTTCTTCTTTAGTTTCTAAGTTAATATTTTCTGAGTTTATCTAAGTATTTTTTTTTAAACTGAAATAATTATTATTTTCTTCTGATTCTGAAATTATTATAAATTATACTAGAAAAATAGATATATTTTCTGAATTCTTGATTTCAGAATAGTATCTATTAATATTACTATTATTAGATAAATCTTTGATAAAATTATTCAATTAAATTAAATTATTCTTCTTAAGTATTAATATAATCAAAGATAAAAATATTAACTAGTTATATTATTTTTTATTTAAGATAAGTGATATATATCTTACTTGGATCAAGTTGAATTAATTTATGAAATAATAGATATATAATTTGATTTACTAATATTACTCTAATACTTTTTGTAAACAAATAAAATATTCAAAATTATAAAGAAAAGCTAAATTGAAGAGGATAATAATAGAAGTAAAAGAGTTATGAAAGTATTTTAATAGTAAAATTAGAGTCTTGATATACTTGTAAGTGATAATTAATAGTTAGTTTAATAAAAGAATAATAAGTAATTATGAAAATTCAAGACTCAAAATTTTATCAATTATGAATAATAAAAGAAAAGGATATAAAAAGAAATATAAAAAGAGTATAAAAAGAGTATAAATAAAATAAGATATGTAAAGAGGATTTTTCTTCACAGAAAGAGTATCAAAAATATGTTATGATGAATTGATAAGTGAGTTTTTACTTGAATTTATCTTAATAATATAGAATTAAGAGAGACTAAAATAATTAAAGATAAAGAGAGAGAAATTAGATTATACTTTTAATAATAACAAAGATTTCTAAGACCTATATCAATATCTATAGATATTATCTTAATAAAGAGTAAAATAAATAAATAAAAAAAGAAATAAATCAAAAAAATTATAAAAATTAATTATAAAGCTACTAGTAATTGATATAATTCAGAATTTAAAGTGATTAAATAGTAAAACTACTATTAATTAAAGAAGACTATAACTAACAAAAGATAAAAACTAAAGTACAAAAACTAAATAACTAAAAAGATATAGCTTATTTATAATAGAAATTTTCTACTCTTAAAAATAATAAAATAAATAAAATAAAAAGTATAATTTATTTATAGTAAAGATCTTCTACTCTCAAAATAATATGAAAAATTAAAAATCAATATAATATTATAATTCAAATTAAAATTAATTTTATTTAGTCAAAGAAATAAAATTGACTGAAAGAAAGAGTATTAGTATAATTAGAAAAGAAATTTTTTAAAAAGATTACTATTATTATGATAATAAGCTTTTTTAATTATATTTTCCAAATAATTTAATTCAAAACTATTTATTTCAAGCTAAAATCACAAATCCTTTTATACATTTTCAAATATATAAATTATTATAGTATTATTAGTTAATACTATCTAAATATATATATGTTATTATAATAAAGAGTTATATTAATATTAAAAGATGTTTGAGAATGTGTGTGAATTTTAAAAGATATTAAAAAAATATCAAAAGACATATGTGAATATTAAAAGATATCAAAAGATATATGTGAATATTAAAAGATATCAAAAGATATTGAAAGATGTGAAAAGATGTTGAAAGATATGAAAAGATGTTGAAAGATGTGAAAAGATATTGAAAGATATGAAAAGATGTTAAAAGATGTGGAAATATATTATTCTAGGAAATACATGAATTATATATATTAGGTAAATCAAAAATATAGATCTCAAATAAAGAGGATAATATGTAATATTTAAAAATAGAAATATAACTATAAAGGGTAAATATAATAAAATAAATAAATGTATAATTATAGAAAAATAAGGGTAATTATAGAATAAAGTATAAAATTATAGAAAAATAAAATTTTGCATAACTAAAGAAAGATTATGAAATTAAGAAATTTTATGTCACTATAGTAACAATATCTTTTATAAAAAATTTTTACTAATAATGACTTTTTTCAAATTTATTTCTTAATTTACTATATAAAATTTGATTAAAATTAATATAAAAATTATATAATAAACAATTTAATTATTCAACTTTGAACCTTAATATCTTTATAACTACTAATTCAATTTTATGAAACTTAAAATATATATTTATCAAATCTAAAATAATCTGCTTGCATAATTTCAAGTTCTAATATTGCAAATTGATAGTGATAATATTTAAAATACCTTTTTTTAAAAAATAATAATTTTATTTTAGTTTTTTTTTAGTAAAGTAATGCTTTATTTATTATCAATTAAAGTATAATAGAATAGTTAAAATAGTATAAAAAGTTAATTTAGATCATTTTTTATTTAATATAAAAAAATTATAAAGATTGATTAAAATTTAAATGATTTTTATTAGAAGTAATTATTGATTTTTATATTGAGATACAAATATTTTTGCACTAACCTTATAATAATTATAATTTTTTATTAATTTTGCTTTTAATTTGCAAAGTGATCGAAAATTCTATATGGCATTTGTAGAACTTGCAGTCAACCTAATATCGACGACGATTTTGTCATGATTGTCGACTTCTCGATGATTTAACTCTATTTGAAAATAATGAGCAATAAAAAGATAGCTTGCATGTCGCTTCATTTACGTCATAATAATAATCATTACGTTAACAAACCATTGCCTGTTTGTTAACTTCGGGACCACAATTATTCAACACGAATCAACCAACAATCGCATATTTTCTACACATAGTTAAATAGCTTGTTGAGGAACAATCTGTTTTTCTAACACTATCACGTAACTTAGAATAGCGTCGTCCGTAACTTAGACGCAAGACACGTACATGTGCGTAAATTAAATTTTTTTTGATGTTCAAAAATCAATTGGCTGCCTGATGACATTTCGTAATGCGTGTAATTAAATGACATTTAGATGATCCTTATTAATAAAAGATGGATAGTTCGGCCGAACACTACATGAGATCAACCAGTCAAGTAATTTATGTTCAAACCGACGAATCTGTTAAAGAATGATTAATTATATTATTAACTATACATGTATAATGCTTATTCATAAGTGCAATTTAATTACCTTGTTGGCAAAAAAATTGTCACCTTTCTCGGTAACAACATTCTTTACAAGAATAGTCAGCATTCCATTCATGTTTCCATAAAGAACATCAGTGAAAAGACGATCTCCAATTATAACGATCGCGTTTTTGTGGTTTTTGTTAGTACATGTATCTTCTTTATTTTTGTTAAAATGTGAAATTAAGGATTCGCCGTCGCCTGGTTTCTGTAGAATGAATAATTTTTTAATAAAGAGTCAACAATTTTGTAAAATTTGTTAATTATCAATATTACCTTTACTTTATGTTTTAGGACTTTGACGCCTGGTTTGTATATTCGAATTAAAAATTTATAATGAATTTCGGAAGAAAGAAGTATGGCTAAATACTAACCTAGCGCTCGTTCAATTTTATTTGCCTAAATAGACAAAAATTTTTTTTTTAATATCATACTGAATTCAAAACAAAAAATAACCCGCACTCACACTTTTAAAATCCGGATCATCTGGAGTTCCGGCGGAATTTGAGACTATCACAATATTATCAGACCCGAAATTTTCTTTACATGAACTCCATGCTTTCTACAAAATGAATGACATCAATCAATCAACAAAATAATAAAATAAACAAATAAATAATCACACCTCATATAATGGGTACAATGAATCTTGATAAGGAGCTGTCAACGTGTTATCTTTATCAAATGCCACAGCCTGGACTCCAGCTTTCTTCAGTTGCACAAAATCAACCTCCCTAATATCTATTACCAAATCAATTGTGTAAGTCGCTTTATCAGCATCACAAAGAAACTTAGTATGGCAAAAATACATGTACCAGAGACAAGAACATGTGGTACGAGCAAATGTGGGTTTCGTAAGGCGACAAAAATGTAACGTAATGACTGCAAGTTTAAGCTTTGAACCATATTGATATTTCATTTATGGTATGGAAAATTTTTGACATAACGATAATCTTTTGTATGTGATTGAGTAATTACGATGCGATGTAAAGATAACGATAGTTCATATATGGAAATTCGAAGATCACACTATCCAGATCGAGTTCATTTTTATTATTTTGATCAATCGTTTTCTTTTAAATAAATGAGTGTTCTTTTCGTATCGGTATAGACGCGCGAAACTATCAGATAGAAAATCTAAACGATGAATGCAGAGCTTATTAATCCATGTGAATGCACATATTGCACTGGAAAAAAGCGAAAATCTGAAGTTGTTGACGAGCAACCGAGTTCCCCACAAAAAAATCCTACCAAATATGCTAGAACAACTGATTTCGAAAAGGCTAAAGATTATGATTATTTTAGTCTTGATCGAAATTCAATTGGCGCATCACATCTCTTTTTGAATACTAATATTCAAACCTTGACCACCAATTTACCATCTTACTCCCCCGCATCAACAACATCAACGTCATCATTTACTCAATTTGAATTTAACGGCCCAATCTCTAATGAATCCAATCTGTTTTCGCGATTTCTCACTTCCCCAACGCCGATATTACCTCCATTAATACCTAGGATTCAGTTAAATGAATCACCACATAAAATTTCGGATAAAATGATTCCTGGAATTCAAAATTCCGATGTTTCCATGATTAATAAATTTTCTTTGAAAGACAACCTTATCGTAGAGTTCAATTTACCACCGAAGATTCATCTATGGTGTAATGTTGATCACGAAAAAAAGAATGAAAACCACGTTACTATTCTTGGCAATAACCCTCCGCCTAACAAAGGTAAAGATCGAGTAAATTCTGATCTTGAAGAAATCGAGAACAGCAATTCAATTAATTGTGAGAACGTTGACTGTTCCCTGGAGGCAAAATTGGATCCCAACGATCCAACAAAACGATATTCCTATTGCTCTTCAAATTGTTTCTGGCTCGAATCGAGCAAATTGGACTCTGTGAGAATGACTCAAATCCAAGAAAACGATCCAGATTATTCAACAGTACGATCAAAATTCTCATTTGGACTACCAAACGCGAAAATTATCGCGATAATTCGACTTCAAATGCCAAACGAGATTACACAACGATATCAAAACTACTCACAAAACATAGCTTTGGAAAAGGGAGTCCCATCAGAAAACGTGATTCATCGCATGTTTCATGGCACCGTGGCTGCTTGTTTACCTTTAGATCTCATAATTCTTAATCGTTTATGCAAGAAATTTTGTGGAATGTGTGGAATTGCAAAAGAAGGAAATAAATCTGTTTATTCGAAACGTCGTGGAAGTGAGTTTATAAGATTTCGTTATCTATCATGCAAATTATTACTAATAATTGGGTTTTACTTTCTATTAGAAATGTGGTTTGCGAGTAGTTCTCAAGTGTCTTTAGGTTATTGTGGTCGAAACAATATGAAAGCTATGTTTCTTGTTGATGTCGTGTCGCCAAAGTGTGACCGAATTTTGATTGTTGACAAAGACGAGGTTTGTGTGTTAGATTGTTTTAATTTCAATTGCTTAAACATACATAAATGATATTTTTTATATGACAGGCAACACTGCCAAGGTTTCTTATAATTTTCCGACACAAACTACATAACAAATATTCGATTATAAGAAAACATCGCCCCCCAATAAAACGTCCAGTACCAGCGTGAAGAACTAAGGCATGCACGTGTGTACGTGAAAGAGAGAGAGAGAGAAAAGAAAAAACATTAATTCTCTGATTGACGGAACTCTAAATTTATTTATGTAATTATTACATGTAATGTGTATAATCAATATAGCAAACTATGTATACACACCCGTATAGAATTTTTAAGGTAAAAAAATTACGCATATATGCAAGGTAATAGATTTATATACCACACACTTTTTATTATCTATAATAACTACTTCACACGTGGGAGACCTATAATTTTCTGGAATGAAAGAGCAGTATTTTAGCAGCCAGCAAGACAACTTAAATTTGAACATCGATAAGGTATACATGTATATGCTATTTTTATGGTGGAGCCTTCGATTTTGTTAAGCACAAAAGAAATAAAAGTCGAAGCGAAGTTAGGTAAGAGTTAAATAATTTTTATTAGTTATTTTCCTTCAAACCACACATTTCCTGTCTCTCTGACCTTCGAGAATTATCTATATGTCATTACATAACATCGAAATTACAAATCGCTCACTACAGGTTTCGCGGGTCATTAAAGCACAAAATAGGAATTTTATAAAAGAATCAAATAATAATGTAATTATTTTAATGCTATAATTATACTTGAGAAAAAAATATTATGTAAAGAATATGTTGGTGGATTTAGCGAATGTAGTTTGTGACTAGAGCAAGGTAATTATAATTAGACTATTTAAACAGTGTGAAGAATGTGAGCGAATAAGAGGATTTGGGCATAGATATTAGAAGAGTTTCAGGATTATTTGGGTAAGTTATTTTGGAGAGGGAAAAGAGAAGATGATTGTGCGATTTATATTCTTTAGCTAGGCTAATGCTTTATCTGGACCAAAAGTCTTAAAGGATCTAACCAATACGATTTCTTTTCTGGTGCAAAGAACCTAACCAATACGTTGTCTTTTCTAGCATAAAGAACTCAATCAACACGATATTATTACGATTGACACCTTTATGAAGTGTTTTTACAAGTAGTTTATTATTTGGAGAAGAATTGCACTCAATTTACGTCTTTGAAGGAAAACTGTAATTTTTATTTTCTCTATCTGATCTTTTTTATTGATGTCCAAGAGCCATCCTTTGTATACATTTTCGCTAAAGGTTAATAATCAATTAACCAAAGAAACGTCGATTACTCTATATAATTTATTATAACGTTTCTTAAAAGCCATAACAAAATAAATAAGCAAATAATAAAGCGTAATAAGCTAATATATATATATATATAACAAAAAGAAAGAATTGTGCTGAAAGATACGCTGAAAAATGTGTTGCAATTTCACACAGATTGTGCGGAAAAATGTGCTCTAGTTACGAGTTTGATTGTACTGGACCATGGGGGTAGCAATCACGCGACCGATGTGCGGAAAATGTGCTGAAAATTATACAAGTGACTGTATTGAGAAAGGAGGGCTGCCAATTTTCTATTTTGGAACACAGGTAATTAGAGCATTTCTACATCGATGGAGACACTTTTTTCTAAATTTAGGTAACAACGTGGTCAATGCGCTGAAAAAATGTGGCTATAAGATATACTAGAAAAAGTGTTGTAGAACATGCTGAAAAGTACTGTAAAAACAATACAGCTTGGTAACAATTTAATTTTAACGATAATCATTGATTACAAATAAGGAAAGTAAGAATTTTGGTAACGCAAAGTAGAAATTTTAGTAGGACTTTTGGGGAGAGGCGATACTACAGGATAGAAATTTGAATTTTTTTTAGGAATATATTAATTACATGTGCCGGTCATACGATTGAATGTGATGGCAAAAATAATACATCATAAAAAAATTGCTTCATAAATTTATCAATCTATCGAATATCAGAATTTTTTCATTGGAGCACCTCTTGTTTCACTCCTGACACATAAAAAGAATATTTATTTAGAATGAATAATTATATAGAATGATTTAGTCGTGAATGAAAAGTAAACTATCTAAGATCACATACAGTATCAACATAGCAGATTTAAACTCAGAAAGTATAAACGATAAGGGTAACATATTGGTCAGAATCCTGTATCCTGTGTGAGCATTTTACAACTCGCTATCTAACAGCTCGAGAAAGTTCATGCAATTGCAGGACGAAAATTATTTGCTCGAACATTTGACTAGTTAATGGTGGTTTGATCAGGCTACTGAGCATTATATTTACTATATTTACTGTTTTATAATGGTAACGACTTCTATTCTGAAAGAAATTCATTCTAATAAATTTTCGGAATCATAATTAAAATCAATAAAATTTCCGGCGTTTATTGTTTATTTAATAAAATCTTCCGGAGAAATAGTATCATTCGCGTCATGCTGAAAGTTTGTCACGAGAACAGCATTTCGTACAGCTCCAAATGCCACAAAAGGTTACGCAAACTCCAATCCAGATAGCAAGACCCATCAAACAACCAACACAAATTAGAATCCAAGACTTATGGGCCGCTTCATATAACGCAGGATCGTTAATTTCACAATCGCTTGCTCGAGAAAGCCAATTATGACCCATAATAGCCCAAACTATCGGGAATATTGGCGCTAAATCCCACGAGCAAAAGCTAACCAGGGCGCCAATAATGAAAACGCGAAGGTAATAACCACCATTGCAGGTTTCCCACTTTTCTGAGCCGCCTACGGGATAATTACTGATCGAATTAGATGTAACCACTATGCCATAGATGGAAGGAGTAAGTATACCCGCTATGACGATCAGACAAACTCCACACCAGACCCATGAATTATCGTTACGAGGCATAATTTGAATTAGGCTTGCACTTTGACTGCTAAGATTGTTGATATTTGTATAATATATAAAATAATTTATGTTGGTTTTTTTACGATTTCAGATTACCAATAATTTGAGATTATTGCTAATTTTTATTAGTTTTATATTTTTTTCCAAAGGTTTTGCGGACGTGAAGCACGTGTAGATTGGCTTTGCAATATCAATTCAAGGATTGGCAAAATAGTTTAAATGTTTTATAAATTTTCCGAAATCTGTGATAGCTATACACTACCAATATATATACGTGAAATTTATAAAAAAGGAGCACATGCAATAAATAATACGATATAATACGTTGTGAACATAAATATATAATATCCCTTTTTATTAAATGTAATTGTTTTCCAATTTTATATTAAAATGATACATTTTATTGTAGCTTAGTTTTGAATACTGCGATATGATTAGTTTACCCCTTGATGTTTCTAATATATCTGTTCATTATCATTACCATTCTGATATTCACTTTCATCACTCTCATTACCAGCATAATATTGATGGACACTTATTTCATCATTAATGCTTTTTTTGACAATTTTTTTTTGATTATCTGGAGAAGTTTGTAATTTATAATTACTATAAATATAAACTAATTTAAGAACGTGCTTACTACTTAACTGATTTCTTTTTTTGTTATGAAATATTTGCAAAAGCTGACCAGTTACATTCAGAAGCTAGATAATGTTGGAATTGTTAAGATATGTTGTGCTAATTGTGTTAATTCAGGCACTGATTGTGCAAAATTCGCAATCCAGCAAGTAATCGGATCAATATTATCAATGCACTTCCATGCTAATGTATTACTGAAAAGAGCTGATTTTGCTTTGTATTGCATAAGTTGACTTCCAGATGAATTGACATTGAGTGAACTTGTATTAGCAATTTTCAAAGCTCATCAAAAAATGATCATTTAACTTCAATTGAAGCATTTGGACATACATGCATATGTGACTTACACCGAATTACTGAATTATTGGATTGATATTTGGGATTTTCACAGTATTTACATTCTGCATGCTGTTGTCGAAATCCAGCAATATGACCAATTTGATTAAATGTTCCCATATAGAACTTCAAAAATAAAGATGTAAATATTTGATGTAGATATTTATCATTACGTATGTTCTGTATTGGTATAAATGCGTTGTTTATCATTATTTATTGAGTACAAATGTCTTAACGTTAATTGGTGATAATTTATGAACTTAACCATATGCATAATTGTGTATGGGGCATTTACGATATCGGTTAGTAACTATGAGCATAATGCGCGTATAATGCGGATAGGCACATCTCTAAGATTAGACGAGGTTAAAGAAATTTAAATAAGTTTTCTTCCATAGTTTTTTGAAATTACATTTCTTTCATAATTATATCTTAATAAGAATTGACTTCTCTCGTTACCAGAATTAGCAGATTTTTTCTATTTTGCTATTACTGTACAATATAGCAAGATTATATTGTCCTCTAACATCTCACCCTCTGCTCATCTCAAGTACCACTCAGATGCTTTTTTCTCATCTTTTGGTGTTCCGATTCCATTTCCATAACACCCACTAAGATTATATTGTCCTAATACATCTCCACCCTCTGCTGATTTCAAGTACCACTCAAATGCTTTTTTTCATCTTTTTGTGTTTCGATCGATTCCATTTTTATAAAACACACCAAGATTAAATTGTCCACGAGCATTTCCACCCCCAGCTGATTTCAAGTACCACTCAGATGCTTTTTTCTATCTTTTTGTGTTCCGATTCCATTTCCATAACACTAACCAAGACTGTTTTGTCCTCTAACATCACTACTCTTTGCTGACTTCAAGTACCATTCAAATGCTCTTTTCTCATCTTTTGTTGTTCCTTCTCCATTTTCATAACAGAGGGCAAGATTATATTGCGAGTTAAGTTGTCCCGACTCTGCTGCTTTCAATACCATTCGAATGCTTTTTGTTTATCTTTTTTTATCCAGTTCACATCATTGTAGAATTCTCCAATTAGATAATTTGCCACAGCATCTCCTTGAACTGCTGATTGTCGGTAATATTGTAAGGCCTTATCGTAATCGTTTTCAATATTAATACCATGGTGATAAATAAAGCCTGAAATTTTTCCTATAAAGTATATTATTATGCAAAATTTGCAAGGATTTTATTTTATCAGAGGGTATCTGAGATTTTTCTTTTGCAAAATTTGCTTCATAATTTTCATGGTGTTTGAAAATGTTATCAAAGTGTATCGATAAATCGTCTATTTTAGTTTCATTAAATTTTTTTATATCAATTCGTTTCTGGTACATGATAAGATTTTAAGTTATGCTTTTTACATTAACAAATGTAAATGATGATAAATTATTTTCTTCTTGATTCAAAAAAAAGTTGCTCCGGATGAATCAAGGTTGTTTTCATTTAAACGTGCATCAATTGCTGGCGTGGATGTTAAAGTCCAATCAATATTACGTCATCGAAATTTGTTCTGGATCTTTTTCTTGCACCGTCGTCATCCTCGAAAAGCCTTTTGTTCACTCCTGATGAGTATGTATTATCATTTTTTTAAAGAAGTTGGTGTATGCGCACCTATTTTTTCAAATTCTTTGTTCAATGATTTTGTGTTGTTAATATTGGATATTTTATGTTAGATAATACAGTATATGTATAACGATGATGGACGAAAACTACATGTATTCTATTTTCTGTTCATAAGGATGTCACATTTATCTGTGCTACAAAAAATCGTCTCAATAGAGAAAGTACAATATGGCGTCGCGTTTTTCCCTTTTTGTTATTGTTGGCCCTAATTTTTTTTTATTTTTTAAGCGAAATTTTGTTGGGTGTAAACGTAAATATGATACCTATCGTACTAGTTGACCGGCATTGTCGAATAATACATTAATTTTTTTTATTCTTTTATTAGATTGTCGAGATCTTTATCTCCGCTAGAGGATTCATCGTTCTAAATTCGTTGGTGACATTTGAAACAGTCATCACAAAGATGATTTATTTTACAATAGCCACATTTACTACAATCATGAGTATTGTGAACTAAACACTCATCGCAGTAGTCATTTTTTTGCTTACATTTACTACAATGATGAGTATTCGATTCCATCTTTGAGTTTATTTTATAAAAATGCCTTTATAAAGATATAAAGCCCACGTTTATACAGCATTCGAAAAATAAATTTTATATGTGGAGATTATTATTTTTAAATGATAAGAGTATAAACTAAGAAATATACGTGTGAAAATAAAGAAATTGAAATCACTTTTGGCTCGTGTTAAGACCAGTCAGTTATCTGTAGTTTTTCTTGCCAGTGATTCACATTCTCTTTAATTCCATCTAAATGCGCTGTTTTAAATATCAAAAAATAGTAATAAATTAACAATAGTACACAATGTTTATTACATATATTTGTTTTATAGTCTTTGAAATTTAATTTTTAAAAATAAAGAGCATCATTGTTTAAAGAAAATTAAACAAAAATTAGAATATTTAATAATTATTACTGTGACAAACTGATAAATTTACCTTTAATTAATTTTCGTTTGGAACATATAAACCCATATTAAATTTAGAAACGACATCTCTATTATATTCAGCAGTTATATATTCTAGAATTGAGTATAAAAAAATAATTTAATGAAAATACAGCTACACCCTAAGTGCACACTCTCTAAATACAATAATACTATATCCTCAACCTCTAATAAAATTAAATGCACGTGCCGCATACAGTATACATGTATTTACCTTCATTTGGTACATACCGATACATGTACTAGTACCAGTACAAACAAACATTAAATATTTGATATATATAAATCAATCCGAATGTCATTTTAAACTAATATAATAATAAAAGCGTACCTCTATCAGTTGGGATTGATATTAATTTTGAAGTAAACAGTCGACCAGGTATAAATTTGCATTTGGATGGATTTGTTGTTCTTTGTTTTTATTCATAAGAATGTTTTTTGTGATTTCATCTTCTCATCAAGCTTATCCAATTTCTGTTTTCTAACTTGAGACACTCTTTGATTTCATCTGTTTTAAAACAATAGTTCTGAAAATGAAAAGAATTCGGTTCGCCAATTTTTATTGATATAATCGTCATCGCAGATAGATTTGATAGAGTTGCCAAGTTCCCGAGCAGTTGGTCTGTTTTCTGGAACAGGATCCCAACATTTTTCAATAACAAACTTGTAACATACTTACAGTGCTCGCCATAAATAATGAGAATCGAATGCTATACAAACCATACATAAAAAACTTCTGATCGCGTTTAGCTGGTGCAACCAAAATTTGATGGTGGTTTGTTTATTAACGGACCTAAAAAACAAACTTTAAAAAGAAAGTAAAATATACTTAGTTTCTCCCGCTGTTTTGTTATTAAATGGAAAAAATTTCGCTTGCTGACCGACAAAGAACCGTAAGTGAGCTTTGGGACCGCGGTGTTCGAACGCTCAAACTTTAGCACAACTAAGCGAGGTTTCCCTTCCTACGACATATAAATACATCAAACAACTAAAAAAAAATGATAATATTAAATACATTTTCCGTTCTGGGCATCCAAGAATTTTAACTTCCCAAAATAGACGCATATTGGGATGAATGATTCAAAATGATTAATATCTTACATGTGGAGAAATTGTCACCAAATTAAGTTCTAGGGTAAAAATATCAGCATGAACAGTAAACCATGAGCTTAATAAGTTTGGATACCACTCAGGCCACCCCAAAACTGTACCTTTACTTATAGCAAAATAACATGAACATCAAGTAGAATGGGCTATCACTCATGCCAGACAAAACTGGAAAACTGTTGTATTTTCAGATGAATCAACTTTTCAGATATTCCAAAATATCATGCTAGCATTTTATAAAGCTAGAACAGCTATTTCACAAAAGGGGGTTCCAAAACATCCTGCAAAAGTTCATGTATAAGGTGCATTCTCAGCATATGAGACAATTGGC